CGGTTGCGTTCCTCGTGCTAATATCGAATTTTATACACAAACATGTACTTATATTTATAAATATGTACCTAAAACTATGTTCACATATCAATATTATCTCAATCAAAGCTCGTTTTTTAATCACCCCGTTTACACAGGCAAATCTCAGATTATTAGCCGTCAAATTTGTTGTGCTTGTTATTCTTACGTCTCAAGGAAAAGTTATGTTTCTTCTCTGTGCCACCGTGATCACGTTTTTCTGCAATAATAAGCAATATAAATATATTTTAACTTAACATTTTATTAAAAATACCCTTACAAACCTCTTTTACTTGCTAGCGTACATTTTTGTTTACTTTTACATTTGGCATTTCTCCTCTCTTTCGCAAAAACAATCGATAAAACTAGGATGGACACCGAAAAGTTATCGGTTAAATCTGAGATTATTTTATAATTACAGATTAACAAGGGACGAATTTTGTATGGCTAATCTCTTGTTATAATTACAGATTAGGGTGTTAAGCTCGAAAATGAGGATAACCTACTTATATGTGAACCTAGTATAAGTATGCATGTACACAAGCACCGTGCCGATGGCGGTTCATGAATCACCGCTTCAAACACAACTGATTTAAAAACGCTCCTACCTATGAAAGTTCTACCGGGCGTATGAGTAACGTTTAGTAACACTCCTTTGTTTATTGTATACATATGTACATATGTATGTATGTGAACACATACGCATTCATATCGATATGTACGTGGCAGTTAAGTGAACCGTTTATTTTGAAAGTGGCATAAGTCCTATCATCCCATTCGACTTCAATGAGTGATCATTTAACTGTATCTGAACGCGTCTGATATTCGTTCAACTTCAACAGCCAAACCGTAAGAAGTTTTGTCATTTGTTTATGACAGTAGAACGATTTACAGATGCATTCAATTAGAAGTGCCAATCATTTAAGCAGAAGATGTGAAAATTACTTATGTCAGTTTGAAAATAAACGGCTCATATCTATGTATATTTTTTTGTTTTTTGTTTTTTGCAGATAGATACATATGTCGATGTATGTATGTTGGTGTATATGCACCTAAGGTTTTCCTACATATCCCAACACCAACAACCACAACCCATTTACCCTGACCTCTTTCGATAAAGTATACACTGACATTTGCACACATTTCCTTGTTTGAAAACTTAACTTCTCAATGAATTCTAAAAGGTTTAGAGCGGACACTTGAATGTGCTTTTGCACATACATATGTACATACATACATATTTAAATGCATACGTATGTGTGTGTGCGTGAATGCGGAGCACAACCTGTTTGCTTTGGTATTCGAGCCATATACGTATGGTAAGACTTATTACGTTAAACAACAAATGAAATAAATAGAAACGCTTTTAAAAGTTTTTCACATCGATATTGTAAATTTATTTAATTATTTGTAATATGAATATACACATGTACGTCGGTCGGGGTGAAAAAATAGGTATATAAAGATATATATTATTCGGACTTCCCATTCGGGAGCATCCGATCAATACCTAGCCTTAAGTGGCAAAGCTTAGCCCCAGAGGAAACTGACGGCATTTAAATTCAATTGTAAGATCTGTGGATTCATTTGTTTTACTACCAGCCTGGTTCCATTAAAAAGTTTAGGTGTATCACAGTTACGAACGAAGAATAACAGGCGCACACAAGTCCCCAATAGCAAAAAAACTGCCAAAAGTAAACAAAAAATTTGCTTTCAATTGCTATGCTCAATTTATCGTAGTTTTATAAAGAACACAATAACGGATATTTTTACTGAAAAGACAATGCTTGCTATGAAGTTCCTACTCATGAATATAAGCATAAAGTCGCAGCTCGCGGAAATTGATGGTTTTTTCTCCTTTTAAAAATTAACATTGTACCCGTTAGAAATACTCTAATAACGTGATCGGAGTTAATAGGGCTGATCAGGATCTTGTGCATATGCTCTTGGATTTGCATATTCGTTGCATTTGTAAATTCACAACAACAAAATGTATACGGTTGCTATGGCAGCAGGCAAAAAATTTGCAAATGCAATTCCAACTTTAAATCCTGTCACGCCCTTTTTCCTAAAATTCTATGAAAAACCAAATTTTCGCTAAAGAGCCATTGTATGTTTATATCAAATTTGACTAAGTAATGATGAGCTCCTTAGCCTCACTGCTCAAAAAATCTGAACGTCCGGTACATGTACACATATAAATTGATGGCCGTATTTCTACTGAAATTGCTTAACTTAGACGATTTTTATCCTAGGTTATTGAGTAATGTATCAATTTGTTTGTAAATTCATTTTCTTTTAGATCAAGTCAAGTCAATTGATCAAGTACGAAAATAACATTTTTTTTTTAGTAAAAAAATAGAGGGTTCAGGAACTATTAACAAACCTATTTTCATATTGTACTCGACCCCACCTACAATCTACACTCAGTTTTGTTTCGAGTGGATGTCGTATTTTTTTTTTATAGCACCGTGTTCTAGTAGTTAGCAACCCCCAAAACCCCAAGTGTGTAATTTTTGTTGAAATTAAATGATTTTTTGAATATTCAGGTCGCCATATTGGATACGGGATTTTGAATTTTTAAAATCTGGCATCAAATTTGTAATTGGTTGCCCAAAGAACCTACAACAAAGCAAGTTCAACTTGGTCTGATTTGATTTTGTATTTTGGTCAGCTTTGTATGCTATATGGAACCACTGTAATCAAATGAACATTATGGAGGGGAAATCCTGATGGCCGAAGTTAATTCGAAAACTCCCAGGGGGATGTAAAATTCTAACTAAAAAGTTAAAAATTTTGAGTGTAATTATTAAAGTTTGTTGAATTTTTATAATTTTTGTGCGAAGTTTTAAATTGGGAGTTATGTAGTGCTGGTTATGCTATGTGCTAGACTTTCATAAAAAAATTTATAAATATTAAATAAACAAAAGAAAAATAGCCAAAACTGGTTAAAATGTGACTTAACTTCATCAGCTGACCACAAGAGTATATGTGTGTACATTAGACGGCACCATCTTGCAAGCAAACAAAAAAAGTTCGCCGTACACCCTTGAGTCAACAGTATTTTTTTTTCAAAGCAACCGTATCATATTATAAGTACGGTGACCAGATTTCTCTGGCCAAAAATCGGAGCATTTCGAAAGCATCGAATCCGAACCTACAATATTGTTTTTAGAATAAAAAGACATAACATCTTTCAACTCAGTTTTATTTAAAACAAAACAAAGAGAAAAAACTTGAAAAATTATCGCAAAAATGTAAACACACAATATATACAGTGGCGAGAATGTAAATAGGTAAAAGACATTTTAGCAAGTTTTTACTCCTTTTCTTTGTTTAAAAAAATTTTATTATTTTTTATGAAAATATAACCGATTATCTTTTGGGCCAGAGTACAGGAAAACTCTTATTAAATTAATAAAGAAAACACTGATAATCAGGAGTTAATCGGTACAAATATGAAAAATCGGGACACTTATACGTCCCGACTTTAAAAAAATATTCAGCGGGACAATTTTCTCAAAATCGGTACTGTTCCGCTAAAATCGGTACGAATGGTCACCGCAATTATAAGTGAAGTAGTCTTTAATTGAAAGATGTTAGCATACAACACACACATATGTACTTACATACATACTTATGTAAAATTGTACTTGATTTTCTTTCTTCAGCTGCCTCGTTGCTTTCGGCCATGGATACAACAGCGGACCCTTGCACAAACTTTTTTCAGTTCGCCTGTGGCACATGGAACAAGATACATATCATACCCGAAGATCGCAGCTCCATTAGTACATTCGAGGTAAGGTTAAAACACATATCGGTACCTTAATTCACAAAAGCCCTAACCAACACATCTTTAGAAACTGCGTTTTTCACAGATTTTGATAGGATATATTAAAATACACCTTCGCTAAAAATTTGAAAGTGTTAGTGTCAAAAACACCGGAATAATGCAACTTTTTAAAAAGCTCTATTTGCAGCTTTCGATTTTCTTCTTTTAGAATGTTTTTTTTGTTTCTCCTATAAAATAGAAAATTTGCTGGTTAGGGCCGTGGTGAATTAACGTAACGATATGTAGTATGTACGTATAAATTTGAATAAGTCGGTGTTATTTTTTTCACGATTTTCATTTTTTTTTTTTAACTTTGGGTATCTTATAATTTTTGGTTACTACAGTGAAACCAGTCAGAGCCGGAATCGCAAGCGAATAAAATTTTGGTCCATCTCAGACCGGTTTTCGACCATAAGCACGCTGTAAAGTTAAAATATATCTGTGTTCAGGGCTGCCAACTTGGCTCAAACTGTGGCATTTTTGGCCCTACTTTACATCAAATGGCACTTAATTTTTCAATTTTACACAATGTGCCAAAATGGCACTTTTCAAAAATAGTTATATTTCAGTACATTTTTGTGAAATCCTTTGCATGTACTTATTTTTCGCAACTAATATTTTCTAATTTCTAAAGATTATTTAACTGGTTTATCTTATTTTGGCATCGCCCTTTTGTTTTAGAAATGTAGTTCTTATTTAATTCCTAAATGGGAAGAACTAAACAAGATGGCACATTTTTTGGCACTTTTATTTTACTACTTGGCACTTTTTTATCCTCAATATGTCACTGGCGCCGAGCCGTTGAAGAATATTCGTATTAAGTCTCAGCAAAAAATTCCATGTCGTTTAAACAATCAGGGACGGTAATCATTATGAGTAAAATAAATTAAATCAGCATTTAATCATTATGTTATGATTTTTTTTTCGCTTAAAAATAATAATTATTATTGAGTTTCATTTTTTCGCTCAACGGAAATAATTATTATTTGATTTTTATTTTTTCGATCACAAATAAAAATTATTATTTAGTTTTATTTTTCCACTTAAAAATAATGATTATGTATGAAATTGAAAAAGCCATACAGACGCAATCTACTGAAATTTTGACTTTTGACCTGAAACTTTTGGGACTTAATGCTAGCTGGTATAGCTTTTGAGTATTTTGAATGATCATTATTCTCAAGTGAAAAAATAAAACTCAATAATAATTATTATCTTTAAGCGAAAAAATAATAATCAGCAAGTAATCATTATTTTTGATCGAAAAAATACAAATCAAGTAATAATTATTCGCTTTGAGTGAAAAAATATAACTCAAATATTAATTACTATTTTTAAACTTTATTGATTAAACTCGAAAATAAAAATAATTGTAAATTACAGTAGAACGTACGAACACAAATACATGTGAATAGTTGAAATTGTTTTACAACGATTACAACTTGTTTTTTTTTTTTGCCAAAATTTTAAAAATAATGATTATTTTCCGTCCCTGTAAAGAATAAAGGGAATGCCACATAAGCTACTATTCCATACGAACACAGATATATATTTAACCCACAGTTTTCAATAAACACATTTCAAAGCGGAAGAAAATGCGAAGAAATTACCCAATCACTTGAAGACCACAGTCTCAAGCTTATCATAGATACTCGTGTAACCGATTTCAATTAATCATTTTAGTCGATGCTACTCAGTCTTTTCCAGAGGAGCGTTAGACGATCTGTGTTTCAAGTAAAGAAAGGTTCTTTCGCGATCGAAAAGCTTTTCATTGCCGCTTAATTTTTCTGCCTTTCTCGTTAAATGTTTATTAGGATTCATAAGAAAATTAGTTTTTAACACATAGACATAAATTATGTATAATATATGAAACCAAATATTTCTGCTAGGTTCTCTCTGACGAGCAGCAGGTGGTGTTAAAAGGCGTGCTTGAGGAGCCCATCAATGACAATGACAACAACGCCACAATCAAGGCGAAACAGTTTTACAAAAGCTGCATGGATTTACGTAAGTCGAGACGAGGCTCATTTGGCAACGCACACTCAAACAAAAATTATAATAAATATGTACATACATATGTTAAAAGGATACGAGTACTAAGCAATTTCTCCCTTCTAGCTCAAATACGCAAAATTGGAGAGGGTCGCCTGAAGGAGGTGCTCAAATCGCTCGGCGGCTGGCCTGTGATCACGCCCAATTGGCAGCCACCGAACATGACCATCGAGCAGTTAATGGGCCTCATGCGTGGTAATTATAGTGAACCAGTACTTGTCGAACTCTATGTGGGCGCCGATGATAAGAACTCTTCGATTAACATCTTGCAAATCGATCAGCTACAGCTGGCGCTCCCCTCACGCGATTACTACCTGAAGCTGAGCAGTGAGAATGATTTGAAAGCCTACCATAAGTACATGACACAGACGGCAATTCTATTGGGTGCTGATCCCGCGACTGCAGCGCTGGAGCTAGACGCAGTGGTGCAACTCGAGATCAAATTAGTGAATGCTTCGCTGCCCGAAGCAGATCGTCACGACACCAGCGCCATCTATAAGAAAATCACTTTAACCGAATTGCAGCGACAAGTGCCACAACTGAATTGGACAATATTTTTACAAACAGTTTTGGGACCAGATATTCAATTGTTGCCGGATGAAGTGCTCGTTAGCTATGCTATGCCATATCTTGTGGAAATGGGAAAAATAGTAGAGACCGCCGATCGGCGTGTGGTACACAATTATGTTATCTGGCGTTTGGTGATGTCCATAATGGCACACATGATCGACGAGTATCAGCGAGAACGCATCGAATTCCGAAAGATATTGTTGGGCGTGCAGTCGGAGCGCATGCGTTGGTCGCAGTGTGTAGAATGGACGAATAAAAAGCTGGGCTTGGCGGTGGGTGCTCTCTTCATACGCGACAATTTCAATCAGGAGAGCAAGGATACAGCACTGGAAATGATACATACGCTGCGAGAGGCATTCAATGAGCTGCTGGCAGAAAATCATTGGATGGATGACGAGACGCGTGCGGTGGCTAGGGAGAAGGCGAACGCAATGAATGAACGGATCGGTTATCCGGAAATACTCAACAACGCAACAGAGCTGGAGAAGGAATACGAAAATGTGAGTGTGAAATTCCAATTAAGTAAATAGTTAGTGTAGATGAACCTATTGAAAATTTATACATATGTATGCGTTATCTTTTAGCTCACAATAATTCCCGATAATTTCATGGAGAATGTGCTTAATATACTGAAATGGGACTCGGATAAGAATTTACAATTGCTACATCAGCCTGTTGACAAGGAGAAATGGACGACGGAGCCGGCA